AACCCAGGGTACCCTGGCGAATAGCACTTGGTTTCTTGATGCGCGCCTTCACTGCAATTTGATGCCTCAAGATGGCCCGAAAGTGCCCCAAGAGGCCCCCCAAGACGGCGCCAGAAGCGCTGCAGGAGGGTCCCAAGAGGCACTTCGAAGGACCTTGAGGGGGGAGTCGAATTATGGGCCCCTCCCCCCCTCCGTTGATCGATGGCCTCCAGGATGGTCCCAGGACGACCTCCAGGGCTCCCAAGACGGCCCCAAGACACCCCAACAGAGCCCAGAGATCCCTAAGATCCCCCCAAACAGGGCCCCAAGATTGTCCCCAGACAGCCGCAAGAGGACCCCAGGATGGCTGCCAGAGTCCTTGTCCTCCTCGTCGTTTTCATCGTCGACGTCGTCGTCGTCCTCCTTCTCCTCCTCATTCTCCTCCACCTGTTCCTCCTCCTCGTTCTCGTTGTCTTCGTTATGTTCCCCTTCTTCCTCGCTTTCCTCGTCGTCGTCATTCCTCCTCCTCGTCCTCCTCCTCATTGCCGTGCTCGTCCTCCTGTTCCCTCTCCTCCTCATCCTCGTCCTCCCCCTCCTCCTGGGCAAATGTTCCACTACACGCTTCTACACTTCCCTGCGGAAAGCAACTCGCCTGGGCATCGCTTGAGGACCTCTTCTGCCCGTTTCCCGCCAGCTCTCATCGGCAGCGCTTCTGCATGGGCCGGTGGGGGTACTTTTTCCGTCGCGGCCGCAGGCGAAGGCGGCGTCAGCGTCAGCAGCGTTGGCTCGGGCTACGAGCAACCTAAGTGCCGGCGCGTGCGCCGAGATAGGCAAGACCTACCGCCGGGGGAAGCAGCAACGCCGGGGCTGAGCTGCGCCGAGGGTGGGGATTGCAAGCTGCCACTGGTGGGGGTACTTTTTCGGTCGTAGCCGCGAGACGCCGGTCAGGCGGCAAGAGCAAAGTCCGGGACGCGAACCAGGCGAATTAGCTAAGACAGGCGCAAGCCGGCCGGCCCACTCAGACAGCAGCTGCGAAGCTGAGGGGGGTGGAGCTCACGGCGGACGGCGCCCTGCAAGCTCGAGCACACTGGTGGGGGTACGCGAAGCGTGAAGAATTAGCACATAGGCGGGTCGGCGAAACGGCTGCGTCCAGGCAAGCAACCCCAGAAAGAGGCCTCTGACGCGACAGCCCTTGAAATCCACGATGCCCCAAAACCACGGCAGAGCAGGGGCAAATGAGCGACGACAAGAAACGGACCGCGCGCGAGATGGCAACGACCTCACGCGGTGGCTGGCGCGGGCCGCCCGCGCGGTCCGCTACGCTGACAGCGAGGGAGCTGACGCGCGACCTTGCGCGAGCAGCTTACGCGCGAATGTCGATGAAGGCGGCCCCTTTTCTTCTGCGCCACTCATACTGTTAAAACTGATAGCAAGGATGTGCAATAAAGATGCAGTGGCCGTGGACGCCCATGTCGAGGCACCTCGAGCGGGGCTGGCCATCGAAGGTGGTTGAGGAGGGACCGAAGACGACCGAGGAGGAAATGATGCAAGGGTGACCTCTAAAGGTCTATACCCCCCATTACGGGATAATGTATTATTTGTTCGACGGACTGATTGAAGGACTGGGGTCACAACAATAGTGGGTAACTAATTGTTTGTTCCCGCGGCAGCCGCCGCGCAGAAACGAGGAGGAGGAGGAGGGCGAGAAGGGAGGGAGGGAGGGAGGAGGGAGGGAGAGGAGGAGGAGGGAGGGGCGGGAGGAGGAGGAGGAGGTTTCAGGACCAGCCCTCCTCGGCGCCGTGGGAAGACAAGGGGGGGGGGCCCAACCTAACGACCCCTCTGGGGGTACCCGTGGGAAGGCTGCCCGTCCTCTTCATCGGGTTCCGCTCCGTGCGGCGCTCTCCCCCAGCGCCCCACGGGGCGCCCGACGCAAGGCAGGCGGGCCCACGCGCGCCCGTCGAGGGCGAGGGCGGCCCCCCGCCCCCGCTGCCCAGAATCAGGTCGGGCATGTCCCCCTACAGGCGGATTTGAAGGGAAAAAGATACCCCCCAAATATACCAAAAAAGTGAAACAAGTTGTAAGCATCGTCCCCAGACTATGTTTTGACTATTTTGGGGTATTCCTCCTGTAGAGGGACAGTCCCGACTTAAGCCGCGGGCCCTCGCACCCCCCGCCCCCGTTGCCCAGAATCCCCCCGACCCTTCCGGGGAAGCTTGGATATCAGCACTGACACCAAAAGATGGTCTTGCCTCCTCCGAAGCAGGACGATCCTAGATGTTGGCGTTGGTGGTAATAGTTCGGCCACCTAGAAGACCGAATGTTGCCACCACTACCGAGATCGGAAGTATCTTGTCTCGGTGGAGGCACACCGCCGATATTGGTGTTGGTGTAAATTTCTAGGCCTCCGCTGTTTTACGTTCGCGTTTAATGGAAGCCTACCTTCGTCAAGATACTGGCGGATGCATGGCAAAGAGCGGCAGTGAGCGGCAACCTGCGGCAGGTAGTGGCAGATGGCGGAAAGCATTTGGCGGCAGATTTAAGCAGGGACCGACCGTCCCGTAGAACCCAAAAATGTTCCAATAACAAAAACAATGTTCTCATACTTAACATAAACCCGATGTGATAAACAAGACAGACTCCGCCAGAAATGTTCTAAGAACATTTCGTGGGAGCCACAAAAGGTTCTTAGAACATTGCATGGTAGGGCTATAGGCGAGCCAGGACGCTTCGCCACTGTCTGACAGATAGCGCCGAACACTCCACGTCAACCGTCCACCCATCACCAACCTATTCGCCGCCAATGGCTGCCAAACAACCAAAAAGAACACTCTGGGTGAACTTCACGGCTTCCTTCATCGGGGGGTGACGAAAAGGCAAGCTAGCAGAGGGCAGGGCAGAGGATCAGCTCACGTAGCTGTCTTCCCGGCGCCTCCCTGGCACTGCGAGGCGCCCATGTATCGAGGAATGGGCCAGGCGGCGGGGCGGAAACCAGCTGCGTGCAGCAGACTTCGTAGCGTCCCCTTGTACTATCCCACCCTTTCGGCCGGCCCGACATGAAAACAAACCTGAACCTTTCGCCTGGCCCCATCTCCATCATCCTCTCGTGACAAGCAATGAAGGTACTCCTAACCCTTCGGGAGGGGGCCGAAATAACGAGGGCCAAAAACGTCAGGGATGGGGGGACTCTGTTCTGCAGATGCATTAGACCAGACCGCCCAAATCTGTTATCCCTGATGCGAAGACGGGGACCTTAGTGAGGCCACGTCTTCATCGTGTCATTAGGGTTGGGGGCTCTTTTGTCCTCCATGATGTGGGGTGCCCGAAGACGGGGCCAGGAGGAAGCGAGCGGGGTCACCGAACCATGGCCCGAGGCGCGCGGACGAGCGCGTCAGCGGGCCCCTCAGGAGCAGCGCGAGTGGGCCGAGGCACTCACATGAAAGCCTACCATTTCTTCCGGGCGACTTTTTCCGATGATGACTTCTGCCGAGGCGACTTCTTCCGGACAACTTCTTCCAGAAGAGCTCTTGCGGACGACTTCTTCCGATGAGGACTTTTCTGGGGCGACTTCTTCCGGGCGAGTTCTTCCAGAAGAGTTCTCCTGGGCGACTCTTTCCGATGGTGATTTCTTCCGGGGCGCCTTCTTCCAGGGCACCTCCTCGCTCTCCCTCCCTGGCCTCCTATCCTCTGGCCTTCTCCCTACCCCCCATCCCTCCTCGTTCCTCTCTCCTCTGCCCTCCTCCCTCATTCCTCTACTTGGCCCGCGGCAGCGGCTGCGGGGCGGAAGTTGAAACTATGCCACGTGGCAAATGCCAAGTGGTAAATGCCTGGGGGAGCGAACAAATGTGCTACTCCACTCTCCTCGCGACGTGGCAACGCCCGCGGGACTGACAAGAATACGATTACGCGCGTATTGCCAGGTGGAAGCGAGTGGGGAGCGAAACAAACTGCTCCACACCACGACTCGCCACGTGGCAATGCCTGCGAGGCGGAACACCTATGTTTTCACTCTACTCGCCACGTGGCAACACCGGGGGAGCGAAAGAAATACTGCTCCACTCTCCATGCCACGCGGCAGCGCTCGGAGGGGCGAATACATACTATTCTACTGTACTCACCACTTGGCAGCGCCTGCGGAGCGAAACAGAATTACTCCACTCTACTCGGCACGTGGCAACGAAGCGGGTCGGCAACAGATGCTACTCCTCCCTACTCGCAACATGGCAACGCCACGCTGCAAGGCATCGGAGGTACACAACAATACTATCCCACTCCACCCGCCACGTGGCAACGACATGGGGAGCGAGCGAACAAGAAGTATACCAAAGAATTCCTGAAGAGTCCCGCGGAATCCGGACGAACCCTGAGGGAGCCTGGCGTGTGGCAGGAACATAGGGTTCTCACAACGCAAGGCAGGGGCACTGGGATCTACCATGTCAGCCCTCCCAGGTCACGAACGAGTGGCAGGACCATGGGATTCTCACCATGTCAATCTTCCAAGGTCGCGAGCGTGTGGCAGGCCTATCGGATTCTCAACAGGTCAGCCCGCCCAGGCCCAGGGTACGAACGGATGGCATGGCCAAAGAAGTCTCACCAGGTCAGCCTTCCCAAGTCGGCCTGAAAAACACGGAGGAATCCAAGTTGGGGAAATACATGCGTGTCCCCCTACTCCTCCCCCCTCCTACTCACCCTCCTTGTGCAAAGGCAAGGGGGTGCGGAGAAGGTAAACAAACACAAATACGTCCCAAGAAGGCCCAGAAGAAGCCCCTAGAGCGCTCCAAGAGGACCCCCCAGAGTGCGTGGCCGACTCTTGCCTCCGCCGAGTGTGCGACGCCGCCGACGACGGCGCCGACCGCGCCGGAGGAGGAGGAGGAGGAGGAGGAGGAGGAGGAGGAGGAGGAGAAGGAGGAGGAGGCGGAGGAGGCGGAGGCGGAGGCGGAGGAGGAGGCGGAGGAGGAGGAGGAGGAGGAGGAGGAGGAGGAGGAGGGCGGCGACGCCGCGGCGGCGGGCCGCGGCGGGCCGGCCTGCTTCTTCCAGGCGCCGGGGTCGCCGGGCCACTGGCGCTCGTAGCTCTGGCGCGCGGACCTCGGCGATCCTCCTCCTCCGCCGCCGCCTTCTGGTGCTCCTCGGTGCCCCCCCGCCACAGTCTCCGCCCCGAGAGCCCTGCCCTTCCGCCTCGCTTCTCCCGTCGCCCTCCTGCCCCTCCTCCTCGCCCTCGAGCGGCGCGTCCTTCCTCTGCTCCTCTCCCTTTCCCCCCGCGGTTCGCCCCCCTCCTGCTCCTCGCTTCCTGCTCGTCCCTGCCTGCCTCTTCCTCCTCTCCCCCAGCCCCACTCATCATCTCCATATCATCCTTGGTCCTTCTCCCCGCTCAGTTCCCCTCGCTCCTCCACCTCCTTCACCCTCGAGAACAAGAGTATACTGGCGTCTCTGAAAGTTCAAGCTGTTATTGTTCAGACGATATTCCTCGGCTTCCCCCAGGGCCCTCATAAACCGATCCGAGAAGATCAACTGCCAGGACGGGCCCCAGGACGGATCTGGGGACTGATTTTAGGCGGTTTGGGGCTCCCCCTCATCCTACTCTCCTCCTCGTCCTCCTCCTCCTCCTTCTCCGCCCTCCTCCTCCTCCTGGATTCCTGGATCCTCATCCATGTCCTGCCTCCTGCGTCCTCCTCGATCCTCGATCCCTCCCCTCTTCCTCGATCCACTTCCATGTCCTCCACGTGTGACTGTGGGGGGAAGCGCTGCACGGAAGCTTTTTCCATGCTTTAGGTCGGGCAGGTCTCCCTACATGCGGAGCTTGAACGAAACATAAATACCCGAAAAACATTCCAAACATATTAACAAATAATAAAAACATCGTCCAACAACTGTGTTTTCCTCTTTGAGATCGTCCTCCTGTAGAGGGACAAGCCCGACTTAAGGGGAGGCACCCCCTGTGAGCGGAAAAAAACTGATTCCGGAAATCTGGCCCGCGAAGGCGCTTCACCACGGTGCACCCAGGCCGGAGCAGAAGCCGACGCCGAAGTGCCCCCAGAAGATGTGGAGGGGGCCCGCCCTGCAGGCTTCGGCGGCGACGACAGGGGCGAATAGCCCAGGGGCGGGCATTACACGCATTCGCCCCGGAGCCTCTTCGAAGACACAGATCATCGGCGCACCTGAGCACATGCATTGCTCTCCCCAGTGCTTTTCGCCCCCACCGTCGCCTCTGAAGGTTTGGTTGGCAGCACGCCTTTGAGCGGCGCTGCGAACTCCCCTGAGCACAGGCCCGCGGCGCTCCGGTCACCACAGGTATGCCTACGACTGAAGGGGCCCCAGGACACACAAATAAATACACACAAATAAAAGGATTCCCCATATTTTCCCATATTTTCTGGGTCTTCCCATATTTTCCCATACTTTCTGGGAATCGCCGATTAAGTGTGTCTGTGTGTTTTTTCCCCTCCTGAACGACGCCCTCACGGGCAGCTTTCAGGATCCGCTCGCTTCACGACGCCGGGCCACCCCCAGCGGCCCCCCCCTGTGGAGACTGGGGACCACGAGGTGGCCTTCCTGTCGGCAGGGGAAAAATCTGGACCCCCCCCCCCCCGCCTCGGCCGCCCCTGGCCCTGGCCCCAGCTCCGTCCCCGGCCCTGGCCCCGGCCCTGGCCCAAGTCCTGGCCCCGGGCCCCAGCTTGCCGTCGCTCGGACATCCATTCCCGGCGCAGTTGTCGGGTTCGCGCGTGCACTTCTCGGCGAGGTGGCCCCCAAGGGCTCCTCGATGGCCCGTGCCGAGAGAATGAAAAAACGCATACGATCCAGCCCAAGCCCTGGCCCCGGCCCCAGCCCCGACCCAGCCCAGGCCCAGCAGACCGACGCCCAGACTGGGGTTTCATCCCTGGCCCCACAGCGCTCGGCGGTTTCTTCATTATGCTCCGGTGGGCCTCGTCCCGTATGCTGATCTACCACGTCCTCCTGCTCCACCGCACCCCCAAGAGCAAAACAAAAATACCCCCCGGCGATTCCATCGCCACCAAAACATATAAGCACTAGTGGGGCTGCTCGGCGACGCCTTCCCAGTGATGTCGCTAGCACATGTCATGAGCGCGACTTGCCAATACTCGGACTCTCATTTCCCGTGCAACTAGTGGAAATGAATTCGTATCATCCTCGATGGTCCTCAACGAGAAAATGCACACGCCCAAGCGATACCATATTGGAATATGTAGTGAGTCTCGCCTCAAACAATCGCAGAAACGCATCTCTTCGGAAACTCCGAATGGAGCCGATGACGCGGGCTCGCGTGGTCATAGGCATCCCTATCGCGATCCAAACGCAAACATTGAAAACATAATGATGTTCGCCTAGAGGAATCGCAGAGGAATCCCTTCGGAAACTCAGAAAGGAACGAACCTAGGACGCGGGCTCGCGTGGTCCTGGGCACCCCTTATCGCGATCCAAATGCAGGCGTCGATTATTGAAAGCCACGGCCGTCAAGGCTTCTCCCCTGACACACAAATGCCCCCCTTCACTGATGGATTGAGGAGGTCTGCTCATGGACCTGCCCCCAAGCAGGAGAGAACGGCTGGCCAAACCATCGAAAAGCAATGAGGGAAACGATGAGGGTATCACCAACAAGAAAAGCAAATCGACCAAGTCATAAGACGAACGTAGACCCAATTGGATCGATCGGGCAGTGCGTCTCCCCTGCGCATTCGACCATGGACTCGCTGTTACCCATCAGTCCTGTGGGGCGCAAACGGACATACTAAATGACGCACCCCCCATTGACAGCGGATGTCTGGGGCGAACATGTAATACTCACGTAACCATCGGTCGTAAGAACTGTCGGAACTTTTTGCGTCGGCGGTTAGGCAAAGCAGCTGCGCTGGCAAAACAGTTACAAGTAGGGACACGGTGCAGCGAATTGCGCCGCAACGCAGGAAAAAACGGTCAGACGAGAGCGGCCGCAGGAGGGGGTGGGGTGGGGTGGGGTGGGGTGGGGTGGGGTGGGGGGGGCAACGGCCGCTCAGGGGGGCAGGTCACGCCCGAAGCGGGTGGCGCGGCCAGCCCCGCCGGCGGGGGCAGCGGCGACTGCTGCGTCGGGTTGCCAGCGGCGGCGGGGCCCAACGCGGGAACCGAACGAATCCAGCGGGTCAAGAGTACGCAAAGTCATGGGCCTGGAGACAGGGCGGTGGCTGCGCATTCCCCAGGTGGGGGCGCGGAAGAGGCGGCGAAACGACATCGCCGGGGCGCGCGACGCGGAATAAAATGATCGGGGCGGAGGGGGCGCGGGGCCGCCGGGGAATGCCGGGGTGGAGGGGCGCCCGGGGCTGGGGAGGGGCACGGGGGGCGAAAAGGGGGGGGCGCGGGCGCGGTGCGACGCGGAATTCGATGGGAGGGTGTGACCAGCAGAACGCAGGACCGGCGGACGGAGGCGAAAAACGTGTGGCGGGCGGCAAAACCAAGCCCGGCACCCCAGCCTGGCGGCTGCAGGCAGCAGGTCGGCGCCGTGCCGGCGCGCGGAAGAGGAAACGGTGGGCAGCGAACGTCGCTGACCGGGCAAAACTGCGGCTGACGCCAGCGGCCCCCAATGCCCGGGTGGACAGGGTGGGGCGGTACCTACTCGGCGAGGGAAGGCGCGGGGCTTTACTGGCGGAAAAAGCAGCGGAGGAAAGTGGCGTCATGCCAGCTGGGGTCGCGGGCGCCGCCGCCGCGCAGAGCGCAGTATCTGCTACAAACCGCACTGGGTTCACCACCAGTTTGCTGCGTCTTCCTGGCCCGGGCCGCCCACTTCCCTTTTGAATTGAGGAAGTCGAGCAGGACGCGTGATGGGGCGTCCTCAAGACGCGCCCGCACCTTGCCTTACTTCCTGTAGTCCGAGGTAAACGAATCCCAAAACGGCGCGGGCGCCGGGCAAAACAGCCCACGTGTCTTTGACAAGGAAAAAGAGGCTCACCCCGAGCAGGCGGAGGTGTCTCCCCTCGCAGACTGGCGCTGGGGCAGCCCTCGGTGCTGGAGAAGTCGCCAATGTCCGTCCTGGTTGAGAAGGGCGAAAAGCGTCTGTGGCGAGCGATGGGTTCCCGTTCTGACGCTGGTCAGCGACAACCCAGAGGATCCAATCCGACAAAAAGTTGTCAGGACGACATTTCTGTCGGGCCCACCCCTTTCTTTAAGCATTTCCTGAATTCGCTGGCCCGCCTGTGTAAGGAACCCCCAAAAGAAAGCCGGATCCCGAATTCCATCGCTCAATGTATGTATGTATGTATGTATGTATGTAAGTATGTATGTATGTATGTATGTATGTATGTATGTATGTATGTATGTATGTATGTATGTATATGTACATATATATAATTGTACGATACATATATATATATATATGTTTACATACACTCTCGTTTGCATATGCATACAAATATATATGTATGTAGATATATGTATATATTTGTGTGTACGCATGTATACATACTCAGATATACATTTGCATAGCATACATCTATGCGTGCATGCGAGAAGGGGGAGGGATGGAGGCGGGAGAGGGAGGAGAGCGAGGGTGAGGGAGGGAGGGGGGATGAGAGGGAATACGCACGGGAGAGGGTCTGAGGGACAGAGGCAGGGTGGGAGGTAGGGAGGGGGAGATAGAGCAGAGGGAGGGTGAGGGAGGGAGGGCGGGACGGAGGGTCAGAGGGACGGAAAGCGGGAAGGAAGGTGAGAGGGAAGGAGGGATAGTGGAACTGAATGACGGCGGGAGGGAGCGCAAGCGACGTGAACGCACGGGGGGCAGCCAGCACCGACATGTTTTCCCCTCGAAGTCAAAGATCCGCCATCGACAGGCGGTACTTGTCAACTAAACTGGTATGGAGCTTAGACACGTGCGCGGTCTCAGCCAAATCTGCGCAGTCTCCGATGGTTGATTCATCTGTGTATTCACAATGGTCCTGAGTTGGGTCTAGTATTCCGGGAGGAAGGGGGTGAGGACACAAATGGGGAGAGGAACGGGACAAATGGGAACGATGCATCCCCCAGATCTCCGCTCCTGGAGCCCCCCAGAGCCCCAGAGGCCCCTGACCCCATCTTCGATATCGATTTCGCGCCGTGGGCTGTCA